GTGTATGATGAGTGGTGTATGATGAGTGGTGTATGATGAGTGGTGTATGATGAGTGGTGTATGATGAGTGGTGGTTGAACAGCTGTTGAATGTCCGTAACACGGCAGTTTTGCACACTAAACTTCCTTTGACTAGCATGGTAGAATGCTCAGTGCAGATTTCACTTGCAGCTGGTTTCGAAGGTTCCACACTCTTGCTTTGGGGTTCTTGAGCTTTCGCGATTGGTAGCACTTGCAACTGCCAAACACACAGCAAGTCGAGATCTGGAACGTGATGCCCAGGAGCTGTCCTTAGGCAGTGTGCTGCATGGACACATGGAGCAGCACTGGTTGAAGACGCGGCAAGGGAAGGCCAAGCGTCATGACTCTTCAGGTGGGCTTTGTGGTGGGGATGTTGCAGAATCGGCGCGGATCGGCAGGCTGCCATGGGCGACCCACTCAAGGGCAAAGGTCCTCCGGCTTCATCCTTTTCCGATCCATGGAACTGATCGACTCTCATCGATCCAACCCACGACCTGCGACCCGCCGCGGCGTCGCCCGACCTGACGCACGGCCGGCTCCGGGAGGCCGGGAGTTCTTTCGATGTCTACCGGAGCGGCGCCTTGGCGGAGGACTTTCGGGGCTGCAGGGATTGGACAGGATTGGACATGTTCAACCCGTTGTTGAGGGTTGCCATCGCGGCGATTCGCCGCGACCGAGCACTCCGTCCCCCACACACATTTGTGTTGGCCCAGTTCACCTGTTGGTTGACTTCTTCCACAGCTTTCAGTCCCCTTTCGTCTGAAACAGAACCTTTCCGCCACTTCCGTGCACCTGCTTCCTTCCGTGCAACACACTTCCAGCGACTCCCAGGTTCGGATGGATTTTGGTGAATGGAGAACACCTGGGGCTGGGCGCTTTGTTGCAACCGCTCAGCGTCGACGACGGCTTCCTTCGGCGTGCCTTGGGCCAGATCGCTGGAGGTCGGTCATATCCGAACATCCGAAGGGGAGCAGTCCAGATTCCGAACCACAAGGTTCCAAAAAGACATGAATTACATTGAATTACTGATTTAGTGTGGGACATATAGTAATACACAATACAAACATACCAGGACCCTCCAAGGTGTGCCCAATGGAAGCCTCTAAATAGTGAGGGGTAGTCCATTGGACACCCCTTGGAGGGTCCAGGTACAAACATATATTAGATATGCACACACACGCTTCGACATTGGTTTTCAGTTAGCTCAATTTCCAGGAAAGTGGCGATGGAACGGAAAGGTGAGATGGTCAGCTCAATTGTATGGTTTTAACAATCTGTTGACATGTCTGCGGTGGCGAACGTCAGCGCGACTCAGCTGCAGGAAACGCGGCAAAGGAAGGTTTTAAGGGAGGTATCATGAGAACAACCATGAATCAAAAAGCGGAAAAGGAGGGTGACAGCTTGTGAAGCACTCTGCAGGTACATGGTTGAGCGTCCTCAACCACTTCCCTTCCAGTGACCCAGCTTCGTTGGATCAGGTTAGTCACTGGAAGCCTGATCCCCCTGCCTTGAACTAACCCTTCGAAACAGGGCTGGACACACACACGGTGCCGCTTGGCGGCGCTCGTGTGAGAAACCTGAATAGATACCTAAAAAGCCTTAGAAACGAAAAGAAAGACAGAAAGAGCAGCGCTAAGAGGGCAAGAGAGAAAGATAGGTGCAGAAAAAAGAAAAGTGAATACTTAGCCCTTGACTGGGGTAGGGAAACGAGCCTCAAGAGCCACCTAAAAAGCCTGAGAGAAAGCCCAACAAACGACGGAAAGCGCAAGAAAGAAAAGGGGGGGCAGGGAGGGGGTGTATGTCCATGTGTGTGTACGTGTGTGTGTTTGAATACCTAGTATAGGATTACTGACTACTTAGCCGAGACGAATTACAGTGCAATAGTTAGGGAGCGGGACTTTAGTCTTAAACCGCCCGGGTAGAGTAGACTAGAAAAGGGACAACAGAGGGAAAGGCACCGACACACAAGTGTGTCGAGTACCATATCCCTATGTTACCCTAATTAGGTAGGGAGTAGAACGCAGTGGGGAGGGGGGGTCGGGAGACCTGCCTCAAGTGGGGGGGGGAGGGAAAAACCGCTTTTAAGCCCGGCGGCTGGCAAATTCGCTTTTTAGCCCGTCGGCTGTATGAGCAGTGAATTCAGGGTAGAGAAAGATCGATGAGGAAAAGTCAATGAAAGAAAGATGATTCAGTGGCTCAATTTCCGGCATGCAAACGGCGCCTCCTTGCGGAGGATCACACCCAGCACCCACGTGGGACGGCTGAGCGGCTCACACTTCGACATTGGTTTTCAGTTAGCTCAATTTCCAGGAAAGTGGCGATGGAACGGAAAGGTGAGATGGTCAGCTCAATTGTATGGTTTTAACAATCTGTTGACATGTCTGCGGTGGCGAACGTCAGCGCGACTCAGCTGCAGGAAACGCGGCAAAGGAAGGTTTAAGGGAGGTATCATGAGAACAACCATGAATCAAAAAGCGGAAAAAAGGAGGGTGACAGCTTGTGAAGCACTCTGCAGGTACATGGTTGAGCGTCCTCAACCACTTCCCTTCCAGTGACCCAGCTTCGTTGGATCAGGTTAGTCACTGGAAGCCTGATCCCCCTGCCTTGAACTAACCCTTCGAAACAGGGCTGGACACACACACACACACTCTGACATTGGTTTTCAGTTAACTCAGTTGCCACGATGGGA